TGAATAGATAAGCAACCCAATAGGCACAAACCAGTTCTGAATATCTATTCTGAAAGGTTTGCAGTGGGAGCTGCTGAGTGGGAAAGTTTTTCTTTAGTGTAGTCCATGTTTCTGTGCCTGATGAAGTTCTGAGTACTTGAACTCGAAGAATGGGTGTTCATCAGTCAAAAAACCTGTCCCTTAAGCTTTGAGGATCCCTCAAGAATTTCTTGAGCTCTCCTCGAAATAATTTCTCCTAGAAATAATTTGATTACCCCAGGTTTAGTCCATATGCATATTGGTTGTTTACTTCTAATCTTTGCATCCTTAGCCCAAACCCCATGAGTAGGGAAGAGGGAAGAAAAAAAAAAAGCTTTTGGGCAGAAGAATACTAAAAATGAATGCTGTTTTTAGGAAGTCGTACATCCAGAGACTATATTCATGTCTGCAGTATGACTGCACTCAGAGAATATTTGAGTGCTTCAGCCAGAGGGAAGCATGTGTATGCATCCTGGGATACCTTTAATTAGTTGGGGAAGTGATAAAACTGAACCTACAGTGGCGCAGATCCAGCCTCTTCCTAAATCTTGGTGTTATGGGTGGCAGTGTGCTGTTTATAGCACAGCCTTTTGTTGCTACAGCTTCACCATTCTTAGTGCTCAGTCTAGGTAGATTAAAGTTGCATTCAGATATTTTGTTCTCAAAAAAAGGCTGACAAAGCCAATGAGACTGATTCCATGCATGCAGGCTACACAAGATTTATATTTGCTATATCCTGTTAAAATACATAGTTATACAGATTGTTTGGATCATCCTGAACACCTTTCTCATTTAGAGATCAGAGTGTAATATGAAGCACTGCTCCTGCAGTTAACTGCTATTTTTAGCTATTTAGCACCAGATCTTCTTTTAGAACACAAATTTTGCCTCACTGTTAACAAATGAAACAGACTAATGTGGTGTACGTTATCAAGTTGCTGAAGGTTAGCTTTTCTTCATGTCATGCTTATGAGTGACTGTGCTGCACTAATTAAAAACATTGCCATGGCAATTGCTATAGAAACATTTAAATTGGCATCATCAGTAACAAATCCGTGCTATTGATCCCAGCAAGGCTTATTTCACACTACACCTGAAGAATCTAAATAGAATATTTTGCATTCAAAAGGACTTCAAGAGATAAATTTTTTCCAGTTGTTATTGTGCTCGAGAGAATAATGTTTTTCATACAGAAATTATTCATTTACCTGGAACTGTTGTAGGATTCTGATATCAAATTCCTTACTGCAAGGAGAGACTGCATTGGTTCTATGCTACCACCACATATCCCTCAAACCATACAAATGAAAAAATACTTATTACCTCCACTCAGATCCACTGATTTGAAAAATGGGATTTGAAAAATTTGAAAAAAAGCAGGTTCTCAGAAATGTTTGGCATTAGTATGTTTAGCACATGAATTCCCCATCTTAGGAGAAGCTTCCAAGATAACTAGAAAGAAAACCATTTTCTATTGTTTGACAAGAACAAGAAGTTGGCATTTTACAGATTAAATGATGGGAGCAGAAATGGATTGAAAAGAGATTGCATATAGAATATTTATCGGTTGCTCGGAAAAAATAAATTATTCTCTAAAGATCTTTGCTCCTCTTATAAGAAAAATCAAATTAGATGTTTATCATAATGTTCAGCAGACACACTGACCCAGAATAATAAGTCTTTCTTTACACCTAAAAGTTCCAGTTATCATAAAAACAAAAAGCAGGAAAAAATGAGCCGTAGCTTCATTTTTTGTTTTTCTTTTTGCTTCATTCTTCTTGACATTAAGGATGCTACCTTTCGACTAGGTAGTACAGTCTTACTAATTATCAAGGTAATCAGTAGAGGGCAGCGCTGCACAGAAAACCACATGCGTGCACGGTGCACTGAGTTCCTTTGAATCAGAAAAGTTGGTCTTACTTTTCCAGACCATACCAGAACCCTTTGTTTCAGTATTAAACTCCACCTTCTGAGTCTACAGAGTGCAGCTCCTAACCTGCTTGAGCAGCTGACTATGAGACAAGATTAATAAGTCAATGACCACCTTGAAGTATTTCTCTGAGTACGAAGAAAGAGTAGTATAAACCTCTTTTGCATTTAGATTTTATGGCAAATAGTGTTTGGACAGAAAGGAATGAGGGCAATTTCTAGAATTTAAAAATGTGCAGTTTGAAATAGTAAAAATGAAGCACTTTTTAAAGAAATTTTATTTACATTTTAAATCATCATCAAACTGAACATGCAATCATACATCTCTAAAAGGTCAAAAGAAAATATATTGATGTCACCCACTCTTCTCTGTCAAAAAAAAGAGTAAAATCAAAGCAGAACACATCATCTGAGTGTTAGATTTGTCTAGGTTTTGAAATAAGGACACTTGGAAGTGAAAATTTTAACTAGTTGGCATTTTTTAGTAACTTCTTTTTCACAGCAGTCTTTCAAGGCCTAGAGGTTTTAGATATTAGAGAAGAAATATTTTAAGGATTTTTAGCAGTTTTATAGATTCACAATGCATTAACATTTTGCCAAATATCCATGTTAATTTTAGGAATTTTCACTTTGTTTATGGTTTGTTATGTTTTACTGCAGAAAAGACAGTAGGGTCCAAGAAATTAGAGAAATAAATAATTCATGACTGTAAAGATATATAAATAAATATATAAAAACACAATATTTATCAGAATAGTTACATAACAACACATAATTCATATTAGGCAAAAGTAATCAAACCCAAAACTTGATTAATATGAACATTTGAATATTATCATTCAGAGTGTACAGAAGAGAATTCTTAAATTACAGTCCCAGTGCAGCCATGATAGAGCACTATTTGAGGACACATCATGCAAGAATATCTCCAGAAGAGATAAGAGACTTGATAAGAGTCACTGGACAAAGCTGATTGTCTGACTTTTCAATACAGTATTTCCAAAGGTTCCTGTTCCTGCCTTACCTTCATTCTGCAATACTTTAAGCAGGATCTAATTTACAAAGCATGAAGAAGCCTTTCAATCTGCCTCAGATGATGCAGTGGAATGGAATTGAAATACAAACAGTAATATCTTATGCTCTACATTAATAAATAACTTTATTCAGTGATAAAACCAAGCAGGTTATTTCAGTCTAATATTATACAAGGAATTCAACTCATCAGACTTAAACATGGATGTCAGATTGGCTGACTTTAGTTTTTGGGTTTTTTTCCTTTGATCTGTATCCAGTAAATTTCAATCACAAGGCACGATCATCATGTACTAAACATGTTCTCCAGTTAATGTCAAAATTTGCTGATATTAAATTAACCACAGGAGAGTTGCACTTTGCCCCTGTGCCTGCAACAGGAACATACTGAGCATTACAACAGAGAAAAACAGAATTCAAAGAAAACAAATTCATGAATGTATGCTAAGATCTATGTACCTTCATGATTTTATGCAAATTAAGTTAATTTACTTAGTGCTTTGATTCTTCAATTAAAATAAAAAGCAAAAGAAAACAAGTTTTCCTGCATGATATACATGATCTTCCACATAAATATGACACCTAATAAGTTGTTTTCTTTGTGTTTTTCAATATGATCTTAGAAAGTGATAAATATTCCAAGCCTTCACTTCTTGCTCAGCTAAAACTCTTTTTGAAGTTACTAAAATGGTTAGACTTTGATCCTCCTTCAGGATTTCTAGTTAGGACATTGAATCCATACAGAATATCATCATTTTAAGACAATTTCACACAAGGGCAAATTTCCAGTAATTTAATCATTAAGGCCTTTAGAGTACAATTTACTAAATGTTTTCCATTAAACAGTCTTGGTTCTCAACTGACTAATAATTTTCACAAAAAACAATCTTATTTCCAAAATGAACTTTTGTGCAGAAAAGACTCCCTTCCCATCTTCTATAAAAATCCCAAACAAATAAACAACAGAGTGAAAATATCTTTTGGTAATGTCGGGTTGCAGAAGAAAGGGGGATAATTTTGTATGGGTTGTTTTAATTTCAAAATATCTGAGTGTTCTGGCCTCACAGTACTATCACTGCTAATGGATCAGGATAGTAAAAGAAAATGTACTTTTGCTACTGAATTGTTTTCCTATTATTTTTTGTAATATAAAATGACAGCTCAACTAAAGATATCCTAAAGCAAAAACAGACTTAAAGTGGAAAAGTTTATGGAAAGAACTGTGACATCAGGCACTTCAGTTGTACTGCCAGATAAAGAGTATGAGATTGATTTGGTATGAATAAGTATTGCTTACAAACTTCCCCAGAAAACATCAGAGTAATTTTCAGAAAAATGTTAATTACAGTAATGTTCTATATCATGAAAATTCCCATTCATTCAGCCATGATTCAGGGTAAAATGAAATACATTCCAAATGGAGAATTCTTTTCCAAACACAGCGTTTTGCTAACTTAGCAGGATTCTTATGAACCCACAGTTGTCTAACAAGTACTTTTTGTTCTTGTTTAAAGAATCTGTAGAAGGCGTCAATAATATTCTACAAATTTCATTTTATTACTTCCTTTCTGCAGAAATAGAAGAAGAACCTCTGGACAATTGGGGGCTAGCAAAGGGGAAGAAGGGGATGTATTAATCACAAATTAAAAGAAAATTTGGGTTTGCAGACAGTTGTAAACAGATGCTAAGGGAGGATAGCATCAGGCTGAGCTGGAAGAGATTAGGTTGGAAGATTTCTTATTTGGGCTCTTTCCTTGTGTCAGGATGCTGCTGGTAGCTAAAGCTTTCAGATGGAGTATTTTACTCAGCTTGTGTTTTGAATTAACATCTATATGCCATGTGAGTGAACTAGTATAAGATGAAAAAAGACATTAAAGAACTTGACTTAAAACTCTCTGAGTAATTTTCATGGTTATTTGTCATTCCCGTGGCTTATTGTTGTGATCACTTGACTGTGTTCCTGTTTCCTTAGGGAAAAAAAGTTATTTCAACTTACACAAACACTTTTCTCTGTCCCCTAGGTTTTTCTTACAAGAGGAATATAACATTTGAAAAATTTGTTCTGGTGAATTATTAGAGGAGAGGAGGCTAACAGTATCTCTGGAAATGATGAGGACTCACTCCTTTCTGACAGTTTTGCTTTGGAGCTCTGTGTTTTATGTGGTTCATATGACGCCATCCCAAAAAAGGACTAACAAGCACTCACACAGTGAAAGGATAACAGGATTGTCAGAGAGTGATGGAAAAACACTGCACCGCACCAAGCGTGGTTGGATGTGGAATCAATTTTTCTTGCTGGAGGAGTACACAGGTCCAGATACTCAATACGTGGGCAAGGTAAGCTTTGTGTTTAAAGGATTCTTTAAAGGTGATGCATCTAACACCCTTGGTATTTCCACTCCTTCTCCACAGCTGTTGTGCTTTTTGTACAGCAGTGGTCTCAATTTCTCGTTATGTCAAAGCGCACCACAGGCCACCTGTGGTTCCATGTTTGTTCAAAGGTGTGAGAGAAACGAAGTTCAGTGAAAAAAAAAAAAGGAAACTGTTCAGACTAAAATGTTCCAATTTCCTATTACATATGCCCATGCAAGTTTTATCACTTTTTCAACTGTTAAACATGAATATTAGATAAGAGAATAGAAAAGTTATTATTTCATTCATCTACCTTTGTGGCATTTGCTGATGTACTGGGCTGTATACTTTCTGAAGTGAAATATACAATTCTATTAACAATAAAATTGCTGTCTCTCCATGATTCCAAGTAGGGCTATAGTGTTTGAGGGGGAAAAGAAACCTGTTTTTTTGTGATTTCTGAAATAAACTGAAAATTTTACTTAATTACTTGAAGGGCTTTACATTCTTGGCGATCTATCTACGTCAGATGTTGTCAAAAATGGAACCTCTGAATTTCAGTTGTCTCCAGTCCTACCTTTCCTGATAACATGAAACTCAAAAATTTCTGGATATTTAGCCCTCTGCTGTCTCACCATCCACAGATCTGACTTATGGTCTGGTATAACCAAGATATCTTTATTAAGATCTAGAATATCAGAGATCTAGAATACACCCAGAGTGACTTACAATTAAGGAAATGTTTATCTTAATGGCTTAAATTAATAAATGTCCAATTCAGTTTCTATCTTTCATCCACAATGCTGTCACTAGCTCTTATTCAGGTAATTCTCTCATTTTCAGGTGCCTAGCTACTAAACTGATTTTGACTTTCATAGATAAAAGCTCCAAAATCTTTTTGAACATTAGCTAATATCTCTGGTCACATGATCATATGGAAAACATGCAAGTCATCTCCCAATATTAAGAAACAAATGTCAAAGAAGTCAACCCTGACAACTATGAGCTTGATTCTTACCTTGTTCATACCAACACCTGTACAATTCTGGTTTCCACAAAATAAATTCTGACATGAAGTAGGAGAAATAAGACAAAGGCAAATAATAATATTGCTAGGTCTTTTTATCAGTGTGTAAAATAGGAAGGTTTGTTATAGGCAAAAGGGTTTTCAATATAGGATAAACTAATTGCATAGAAATATTTCTAAAGACAACAATGTGTTTGCAAGTATTATTTAATATTGAGTGCACGTTTCAAGAGAACATACAAAAAGGTTCACAATAATTCAAACTCCATAGCTGTAGAGTTAGCTCTAAACTGACAGAAATAGACTTATTTTTTTTTAATAGAAATCTGTCATAGAGGAGAAGTAAATGTCAAACTTTAGAGCTGCTTCCAATTTCAATCCCACTGAATATAGATGAAAGGCTTAAAACCATTTTAACACTCAAATAAATTAAGCTTACGTCAAGACCATCACCACCATCCCTGTTTCACACATGGAATGCTTACATGTTATATTGCAACAGATGCAAACTTACCACAGTAAGGTAAGATTACCTCTTACTTGTTCCAAATTAACTAAAAACTATTAGACTTTACTACCATAGACTTAAGTCCAGGAAGAAAAGCCAGACAGCTGTAGAGCAGTTGGGTCTGAGATGTTGCACTTCCTATAACTCAAATAACATGTTGAGATTTTTACACTTTGCTGCAAAATATTACAGCAAGACCCCTGAGAGAGGTCAGCATCTCTGATTCTCTAAACAGATAGAAATCACCCCAATTATCCTGTGTTCCAAAGAGGAGTTGCATTGAAATGATGAACTCCATGTGTTTTCACTAATTTTATAGCAGTTTATACCATGATGAAATTATCACAGTTCTGTCCTCAGTGGTATAAAACCACGGTAAATACATTTTGAATTAGTTCAAATTAACCCAGGTACATGTGACATGCAGCACCCAGAGGGAGCTGCTACAATAAGTCAAAGAAGGAATTTTTTTAAAGAAAGAAAAAGCACCCCAACAACTTCATCGAACAACATTATTCTGAGAAAGGCTTAAATCTCAGGTTTAGTATTCTCCTCTTCAAAGTGATGGTAATTAGCAAACTAGCATGTGTGAAGTAAGAGCACTTTTATTCCAACCCATGGGGACTAGTTCATAGCAAGCATTCTTATCTATCCCCTCTTTAACATGGATATGCACAGGCAGATGGGCTACTGGGGTAGAATAACAAATGTAGTACTAAAATTTAAATAAACTGAATTAAGAAACTTTACCAGAAAATAAACTTCTAGGGGATCATAGCCATAATAGTAAAAAATTAGCTTTCCCACCCTGTTTCTATTCTCATAAAATTTTTATCTGTCTGGTCATTATGTTTTGCTACTAATGTTACTTTATTGATGTTTTAGTTTGCTATGAGTTCATTCTGTTACTGGCAGTGGGGAAGGATCACTCAGTAGGACATAATGAGATAAAAACTGCTTATTAAGAAGGATGGGTACGCAGGATGGAGAGAAATTCTGTGACATCCCCACACCTCTCATTCTTGCTACTCAGACCCCAGCCCTTTTCAGACCAGCAGAGGACAACTGGACACTTCGGCCACTGGACTGCCCAAATCCTGGCTGGCAGCCTGGCCCCTATGAGAGGACTCCTTGTGCCCAGGCTTCACTAAGTTGCACAGGTCCCTGGAGTGAAGTTTCTCCCTCATATCTGAAATGATATTTTAAATAGTAGTTTTTATAGTTGGATAGTTGGCAGCCACCATTTAAAGACAGGGGATAAATGCAGATCAATTGTCTTGTGACTGTGATGGGAGTCAATGTAAATTCAGACAACTTACAACATGTCCACCTCACATCTTTCTTTCCTTCTGCAAACTCAGAGGATTCATGTCTCAAATACAGGTGAATGCATAAAAGATAAGTGGATAGGAAGTCCTTAAGTTTGTTGGGTTTTAGTACTCATACATGTACTGCTTATGGTATCCTTTGATTTCTTTTCCTTTTAAATGATATTCAGGAAATACTTAGGCCAACCAGTGGATGCATCTTGCTACATGTTTCTAAAATGCATAGGGAGATAAACATTGCTCTGGAGAGTTTACAAATGAAATATTCAGTCAGACATATGTAAGGTAAGCAGTAACAGAGCCCTGTTTAAAAAATCAGAAAAGAAGAAAAAATAAATTCTAAAATATAAAAATGTCTACATTCTTTCAAAATGCCTGTTGCCTAGTGAGATGTATATCTCAATCAGATTATCAATGTGAGGACTTTTTAGAGGATGTAGTGAAAAGAACGGTAAAACCTGATTCTGCCTACTAAGAATTCACAGAAAAAGTAGATTACAATATAGCATTAATAGTTAAATTTATGAGATTAATTTCTTCTTAAAGGGAGAAGAACAACCTTTATGAAATAAGAAGGTGTTGAGAAAATAAATGCCTGTGTGTCATATCTGGGATCTCTTTTTCTTTTGCAAGGGAGGGGCCACAGATTCAGCCTCTTTGCTGCTATTAACTTTGATAGCCTTGCAGAACCTGAGAAATTAAAGTGAAAACACTGACCTTCTGTGGGAAAAGTGTACCGAATATACTTACTTCCTAACAAACGATTCAAAGAGATAATAATCTAAAAAAACAAAAATGGACAAGAAATTCAAGAAGTATTAAAATGCTGATGAGGATGATGCTTATTAGTCACAGAAAAAAACTTGCAAGAAGGCTCTAACTAAATAGCCCTCAAGGAAAAAGTAGTTTTGCTTTCCAAAGATAATATTGATTTTATGTGTCTCCATTTCTAAATGACATAACTCATACCCACTGAATGGACATCATTTCCACAAAATGCAAAGTATCTTTAACTACAGCCCTTATGAAACATCCCTAGACAAGAAGAAATAGACCAGATAAAAATCATTAGCCATTTTGGAAAACATGGTCCTTGCAGCTGTATATTGAAGTGATTTCAAAAGATGAGATTTTCCCTTCTTTAAGTTACTCAGTTGCATATTTTACATAGAAGCTCTCCTCTCCCTATACCAAAGAGGCACTTTGATAATAAAAAGCTGCTAATCTTGATGGGCAGATAATGGGTGCAGTACCATGCAATATATGTCACACCCTGTCATGAACATTATAACCAAACACCTGCCATATCCCAGAATTTTAAAAAGAAGAAACAGACAAGAATAAAACCATTTTTGTCACACCGCCACAAACTTTCTCATAATAAGGGGGGAAATACAAAATAAAAAAATAAATAAATAAATGTCACTGCTCAAAATTAGCAGCTCATGAATAACCTCATGCTTAATAACGTCCATAAAAATAAATTAACTAGGATCTGCATGTCATAAGCAGCATTTAAATTGGATGCAAACTGAAGAAATATCTCTTCTACCACCAGTTAACAAGAAATTTCTTTCGTGACATTTGTTTGTGTGTCTTAACAAGAAGTATAAAGTGAAAAGAAAAATAGCAAGAGGGTTTTTTTGGGGGGGGAGTGGGGGAAGTGTTTGTTTGGTTTTTGGAAGGGCGGGGTAAAATATATATATAATATATATTTAAAATATATTTTTATATAAATATATATTTAAAAGCAGCTATTTTTTCTTGTAATCTGCATTTATAAATATTCAGATATCTACAAGTAAGGTTGCTCTCGCAGTCTGTCTTAAGACTTAATTCAACTTCATAAATAATTATTAGCTTAGTAACTATTTAACTTAAAAACAATAAAAGAAGCATCACTGAATTGCCAGCCTCACCAGATCTGGTTATTTAAAAATAATTCACTCAAATTTGCACCTTTGTACTGAACGGTTTTGAGGTATTTTTTTTTAATTATTCAATGGAATTGGATAGTATTTTCTTGTAAATGTAGACTGTAATGTACTAATGGCTGAAAATATTATTTCACATTACTCGGCTGCCCACCTTTGCCATACCTACCTGTCCAGAGTAGGCTCCC